TTCGGAACACACGGTATATATATGGGGGGTTCCTTGTTTGGATTTTTCACCCGATGTACTAGTTCCACTAGATTAGGGTTTGAGCGGGAATATTACCATTTTAGATCGTTAGGTATAAATATCTCTATATGTTTATCTGGAAGTTCAGGTTGTGAGATACGTATGGTTTCCGAATTTCGAGGACGAAATTCTTCTAAGGGGGGAAGAATGTAGAACCCCGTATTTTTTTATTTATATGAATATATGTGAATTATTAGTAAATAATTAATTCTTTCATGATAAATAGCTTGAGGTCATTGATGTATATGATAACAAGTTATTTGAGATGATATGAGAATATGTGTGTAGAGTTTTGTGCGTTGGTTTTGCAAATAAGCAAAACATGCACAAAAATAAAAATTTTCCAGATCGGTCGACACATCAGTCGACTGACGGTACCAGTTGACACATCAGTCGGCTGATACGTTGATTTCCATTTTTTTTACAGGTTTCGGGTCTGTTTTGTTTTGGTTCGGGTTTGGGTCGGGTTTAGCTGTTCATATATATTCTCCTTCACCCGAAATCATCCCCTCTCATCTTCAGATCAGAGAAAAACCCTAGCCCCTCTCCCCTATATAAAACCCTAGCTTTGTTCTTGGTGATTTAGGGAAGAACTTGGAGGATTTTCGTCGAAATCTTCTCGTTGCAGCAAAGGGGAACCTCTCTCTCTCAGATCCAGGAGTTGTTCATCACATCAGAGGCGAGTAACATCTCGCCCAACTTTGTCCCTTTTGTTTTACATGAATTTATTGAGTTTAATGAGTTTTTATTGAGCCAAAAACATATTTTTAGTACAAAGAATAAATCTTTATAGTATATGATGTGAAGTTTTGAGCTTCTCAGTTTATAAAAAGATCATCAACGTTTTATTAAAGAGATCTAGATCTGAAAATATTTGACAAGAGTTATTTCATGATTTTATTGATTTCAAAACGTATCAAACATGTTTTTATGTGTTTAAGGTTTTTGATAAATGTTTACATGTAGATCTTTCATTCTAGTTTGGTACATATATGTTGATATCAGTATTTTTCATGCTTGGGATTGATGGGAATGAGTTTAGATCAACTTTTGGGTGAATAACAAACTGTGCAGAGTTTCTGCAGTCCATCGGTCGACTGATCAGTCGACCGACGGGCTGAAATTTTAGTCATCAGTCGACTGATGGGTTGATTGTGTTTTCTCAGCTCCACATTCGACAGATCAGTCGACTGGTGAGCTGAGGCTGTGCTGCCTGAGCTTGTCAGTCGACATATGAGTCGACTGACGTCATCAGTCGACACATCAGTCGACTGATGAGTTGTTTTACAAATTCTTAATCTTTTTGAGTTACTTTTCGGGGTCGCCTCGATGACCTGATACTAGTTCACCATGCTAATGATTTATTTGTACATGTGGGTTGACTTTTGACACAAGTTTAGATATGTACACCGAGACGCGTGTGAGTTTAGAATATGTATATTAGTCCGCATATACTTTTCACAGTTACACAGTCCTCGTGTGTGACTATAATCCATAGAAGTCCTCGTGTTGGACTATAATCTATTTTTGTCCTCGTGTTGGACATTTGCCACTTATTCCATATATTTGGAAACCATAGTATCTAGTTCCTGTATCGGACATATTTCTTAACCCTGTATATGACTTTCTCACGGGAGTTTATGACATGACACTTATGTAGATTATGACATGATATTCATGTAAGTAATGACATGATACTCATGTAGGCTATGACATGGCACTGTATTTATGCTCTGAGATTAGTTGTATTTCTTTTATTATTGTTCCTGTACTAGAACCTCGGGTTTGGTGTTTAGGGATTTACAATTTGAGATACAAGGTATATACATGAGGGTTTCCTTGTTTGGATTATTTCGCTCGACGTACCTATGCTCGTGTTGTAATTTCCTAAATACTAAAACCCATTATTTGCTAGGATCAAAGATTTTAACTATTATGAAATAAATTGTATTTTCCGTATACAACGAGCCCTTTTCCTTGGGGTTGGTTGTGATGTTGCTCGCTAGCGCTTTGACGCTCGTTGTCCCTCCCCCTTTCAGGTAACGAGCCAGGAGCCCGGAGAGTCGCAGGTTGATGGCGATGCATTTTAGCTTCAGCTGTTTACTTAGATATATTTTCTTTTGGAGTTCCACAGTAGACTTTTGTTTAGGTATTTGAGAGTTTTATTCTAGAAGTTGTAAAGGCTGTGTTCCTTATTTCCTCTTGTCAGATATTTGTATTTAAGACTTGTTGAGTATTCCAGTTATCTATTCAGACATTGACTATGTATTTCTGTATGTTGGATGATGAGACATTAATGTGATCACTATCACTTCATCAGTTATTTCTTACACTATCTTTTACTTGCTTTTGTACCTACACCTATTGTTGACTCTACTAGATTGATGTTAATTGTGATGGTGAAACATATTATTGCACGGTGTGGTGCATGGCAGGTTTGACATTCTTGGCTTTACCTTAGACTGCAGCCTTGTGTGAACCCAGGGGCGTCACATTCGCCTACAGGGTCTCGCGGTTGACGGCGGCGGTCGACCGCGCCAAATCCAGACTCCTCTCAGAGTCTGTGCACGTTCGCGGTCGACCGGCCTTGTGCTGCGGTTGACCGCGCAGCTCCCAAAGTGACTCCTGCGCTTTCAAAACCTGTTCTTTACCAAAATTCATCGCGGTTTCTTCAATTCTCCACCTCGACGAAGTTTCTACCAAAACTGAGCCCACGCCGACCAAACCAAATGCCTTACTTCTTACGTCCAGTACACCATCAACGGACTCATGACAACGGACTCCATCCACAACAAATCGAGACCCAAACGGGAGTGCGAACACTCACCCAAACGTCGATAACTACTCACCAAATCGGCTGTATCAAAACTGACTGCCTATGTATCCTCTTGCCTAAGGAATCAAGCCTTCACGTAGTTCACTCAAACGGCCTCCAAAGACCCTCAATCAAATAGAAAAGTCTGCAACTCTTCACCAATATCATCTACATCCAAAACCAAATGATCTCCAATCTGTGTCACCTCAGCTGGAATCCCAAACGATATAGTATGATCCGGAGTATGTGGAGTAAACTCCACCCAACGTGAAGTAGTATCACCCTCCACCTGCTGCGATATCCAAACGACCTGATCAACACTCTCTACCTGCTGAGAGTCAAAAGTAACATTCCTACTCAGAACAAAATCAGAAGCTCCCAAACGATAATCAAATGAGCCTCCGAATCCCAAACGCGCAATCGGATCAAATCTTACATCCTCGATGTGACCAAATACTGGGTAACCAAATATCTGACGCTAACCAAAATCTGAAGCAGCTCCACCAGATCCAAAATCTCCAAATACAGCAGTCGTCAACCTATGACTAAGATGACCCAAATATGTCGAACCTCCAAAACTAGAACCAATGTTCGACAACCAACGCCGATCCCCCTCCAAAAAGTAACGACCAATCACAACTGTCATCTCATATCATCACCCCGATGTTTCCTCTCCAATGAAGTGTCTCAAACTTCCATGAGCTCAGTACAAATACAGTAGGTCCCTCTTGTACCTCCTTCTACAACCAGAATGAAGTACCTTCACCTTACTCCCAATACACTTCTTCAACTATTGTTTATTACTAGGACTTTAAAACCAACGGGACTTGGTTGTAACCCACAAATACCTAGTACAATCCCTAACATAAGAAACCAAAATACCAATTTATCTTCCAATGATGCCTCCTTGGAAGGCCCCCGAATGCTTGAATGAACACCAAATAGAAGACCCCTCAATCATCAAATAGAAGTGCCAAACTCCAACTCAGTCTCCTTGCTCATACCAACGTGCTCAAAGGACTTCAATATGCAAGTCAAGGGCACTTCTCAATAATCCAATGCACCGTATCAACAAACAAATAACTCAGACTCAAATCCTTCTATCTCGGCCAACTATCTCAAAGCACCAACAAATGAAGAATAGATCCAAACTAATAAAGGAGAGAATTTTACCTCCAATTAAAACCCTAACAAGAGTCTCCAAACGATCTCATCCCGCATGACGGCAACGAGATCCACAAATAGAAAAAATCTCACCTTTATCTCCAAACGAAGCCCTCGAAGCGCCTCCAAAGCGATCTACTCCTCCAAATAGCCCAAGCGCCAACAAACCAATGCAGAACAAACGAAGAATAGATCCAAACTAAAAAAGATAGAGTCTTTACCAAAAAAATCTCACATTTCTCACCAAACGAAGCCCTAACCGAACTTCCAAATTGATCTACTCTTTCAACCAAGACAAAACCCTAGATCTGAAATATGGAGCACTGATACCAATTGTTGTGCGCAGCGCGGAAGCGAGACAACCAAACGGGCGTGCTTCGAGAACCAAATCAAACAAACATCAAGATAAAGGCCAAATAAATCAAAAACAACGGCTCAAATCCAAACACAATAGTTTTACGTGGTTCGGCAAATTACCTACGTCCACGGGGTAAGAAGGGGATTGGGTTTTCACTAATAGAGAAGAAGAGTACAAACTGAAATTACAAAACGCTCAAACCAATCAACTAATCTCACCAACAAATCTCTTAATCTCTCCAGATAATCCCTCAAACAATTGCTCAGAAAAACTCTCCTTTTTCTGTGCTCCAAATATCCCCAACCAATCTCCAATCCAAACTCTTGCCTTAAGAAACCCTAGAACGTGTATTGATATTTATACAAACACCAAAACCAAATAAGAATAGGAAACCAAAACTAGGCTTTGACCCGATTGGCGGTCGACCGCCCAAAGCTCGCGATCAACCGCGATCTAGAGACAGAGACCAAAAAGTCCTACAGGGTCTCGCGGTCGACCGCGGCGGTCGACCACGCCAAATCCAGACTCCTCCCAGAGTCTGTGCACGTTCGCGGTCGATCGGCCTTGCACCGCGGTCGACCGCGCAGCTCCCAAAGTGACTCCTGCACTTCCAAAACCTATTCTTTACCAAAATTCATCGCGGTTTCTTCACTTCTCTTCATACCTCACACCAACCAGGAACCTAATGCTCACCTGCGCAACAAAATAAACCAACTCAGTATCCCATAGCCAAGCTCTTCAGATAAATGGGAACACTCTACCTGGCTTGGATCATAGGTAGCATATTCATTGTACTCAAGCAGGCTATCATCGTGACCGAAAGAAATGAGCTCGCCGCAAGGCACTTTGACATTGTCCTTCCATGTGAAATGTTCAGACTCATCAGTCTTCTTTCTTCCAACACCTTTCATAGCTTTCTTCTCCTCCAGTGACTTTATATCCTGCTTACAACAACAACATGAGCGCTTGATGTACAATTCCATACACAGATCGTATGAACTTGTGCTATTCGAATTACCTCGGGCATGTTCTTCATTTCGGTGATCTCGTCTCCAAGGGAAGCTACAGCGAAGACTAAGAAACCTTCAGGCCGGTCGATCGCTGTGAACTCGTACCTTGCAGCCTCAGCTGCCGCATCCAAGCACACAATTGCTTTCCCAAACTTCATTAGAATTTATACGTTGTCAGCCTGAAAGTTACAATTTTAGATTTCCAAGTGAAATGAACCGCTTCATGCAACATACCATGTAGCCTGGAGCAGGTATCGAGCATGCTGCTGGCACAAAACCTTTGTATAAGTGCCTCATCAAGTTTGAACTTCTAGTTAGGTAGTTCCTACAAATAAAACAAAATATATTTAGATATCTTCTCTTTGTATTGTCAACTTTATTCCTTATTTTCATATATTCTTTCCCCCCTTTCTCCTTTTTTGTTACTTGGTAATATTCAGCGGTAGTGAGTTAAACAAGAACTAAAGACTTACTCTCTCTCCTCGTAACCGTACATCAATACGTTCATTGGTCTAGAATAATATCGCCCATCTCAGATGTAGTTACTACTATTTTCAATACGTTCATTGGTCCAGAATAATCTAGCTCCTCAGAAAAGAAAATTTTCATACTATTTTCAATCAGTAAATTGCACTAAGGCCCTTATTTCTTTAACAAAACAATAAATACCAACATCTCTCTCGAAAGGGGAAAAAATAATCGGTTCCTATCTAAAACAAACTTGGGAAAGGAAGAAAAAGACCAACAGGGAACATACCACACCATATAAAAACTTTATTAGGCAACTTCTTCACATCATCATAAGAAGGCCCTTCATTCGTCTCCACGGCAAATATATTCTCCACCGTTGCACCATAGCTCTACATAGTATGACAGGCTATTAGTACTGTATCATAGACTAATCAACATTCCCGAGAATCAGTCGTAACAATTCTTACCACATCCCCAAGATTGACAGGCTCATAGGTCTTCTCCAAATACTTTACTACCATACTATAATCATCAGATTCCTTGTCCAATGGAGTAACAAAACATCCCAACTTCTTGTATCGATCAGACAACGGATCATCCAGAGTGGTGTATGTCATGTCCCCAATCAGCCATGAAGCAACTGTTATGACCCTCACTATCTCAAATGCTGTAGCTGCCTGGATTTTGAAACAAAACAACATCATTAGGACGTCCATATTCACATTGAAAAATTCAACAAACCAAATTGTTAAAGATTTTTACATGATCAGCAAGTTCCTCAAAATCCCTTATGGTGAAGGGCCGAGAGGAGTGCATCAGAGTGAAGCATCTATTGCTAAAGTCCAATCGCATCATGTTGCCTTTATCGTCTGACTCAGGATTTGTCTTCAGACAGTCCCTGAATTGTAGTAGTAGCTCCTCACCTGCAGCAACAACACACCAATGTCGAACTGAAGTTGAACAAAGGAACGAAATAAATCAATATGTAAGAGGATTTTTCGCTCACATCTCTTTAGGTGGAGATCTGAGACCATTCCCACAGGAAGATCAGGGCTATCCATGCCTATCTCCATTAAAACATATCTATCCACCATGATATTCAATAAGCCCATTCAGTCGAAGCACAACTACAAAGACCACTGGAAAACGAAAGAAATGTACCTATAGACCTCTGGGCTGCAAAAAACTTTCATGAAATTAGCAACCAAAGGATCAAGTTTGCAGTAAGCAGCTGCAACTCCAAGCTGACGAACCCCCAAAACCACTATATCGAACATCAAACCATCCTCCTATTCAACAAACAACCAAAAATTTACATTTGAACAGCCATCGAATTACCTGAAATCATCGACAGAGTATTTAAAACTGTACCATATCTTAGGGTAGAACTTGAGGCTCCTCTTCTCAAACTTCTTTTCCCTCTCCCTAGGCTCAAACTCATTTCCAATGAGCTCCTCAAACAGCTGAACAAATTCCCTTATTGCATCATCAGTGTCGGGAAATTCCTCAACTCTTTCTTCTGCTCTGGGGCCATCCCCAACTCGACCCTTCTTGTAAAATAGACGCAGCTTGTTCTTAGGTACCATAATCAACTGAGTGATGCAATATCTGCTTATGAAATAGAAAAAATGATTACAGGCGACTACCGAATCAAAATACTATTTAATAAGAGAATGTAACCTTACTCATTAAGTCCTCTTCCTTGATCACAAATGAAGAATGCGCAGTTATAAATAATTCCATCCTTCTCAAATATAACTCCACCTTGATCCACCAGTTTAGAGTCCGTATGGACTCCTCTCTTGCCATAGAGCTTAAGCTGCACAAGACCATATTTATAGGTTAAAATCTGAAATATAAAACAAACAACAATGGAAAATATATAGTTGAGAAAAAGAATTACCTCTGCAGTCAAGGACTCAAGGGCTTCTTCACCAGGATCTTGTTTGTCCCACGGGATTCCCTTGCCTTCAGGAGCAAGATCAGAAACAACATCATAAGCATCCAACGGTTGAGCTGCTTGTTTCTAGAATTGGTTTTCTTGATAAAAATGTGGTTGTATTTTCTGATAGTCAATCTGCTATTCAACTTTGCAAAAATCCTGTTTTTCATGATAAAACTAAACATATTGATGTTAGATTTCATTACATTCGGGATATAGTTGAAAAGGGTATTGTCAAGTTAGAGAAAATTCCCTCAGAATTTAATCCTGCTGACATGGGTACTAAGTGTTTGCCTGCTAAAAAATTTATATCGTGTCAAAGAATCTTGAATTTTGACTTTGGGTAATTTTTCTTTTGCTTTGTGTGTTGCCTTTGTGGCCTATTAACTTGCTTTGTGTCTGTTAGTAGCTTTGTGATTTTTTTCCTTTGAACTCGATGACCGTTTGGTAGAGTTCGGTCCTTTGTGGACTTAGTATGCTTGATGATCTTACCCTGATCTTTGTGATCTGAGTTTACTTCATGTATTCACTTCCATTGCTTGTATCTTCTCTATGATCATACATGTAATGATTTGGCGATGATGAGTCCTGTAGTTTCGTGTTTTTTCTCTGTGCACTACCTTGGACCAAATGTGGAGATTGTTGCTATTTTGTTGGCCCAAACTTTGGCCCGTTACCAAAAGGCCCAGTTCCCTCTTTTTTATCTGATGTGCCCTAGACCCTCTATTCCACTCTCTATCCGATGGTACTCACCTCCTCCCAGTCTTCGTGATTTGATGGCCGCCGCTTGTGAGTCCCATCTCCCATCCGTAGGTCGGCTCCCTCCTTAGTTTTCTTCCCTAGCCCCTCTCCCGTGTCGACTGCCCCCTTCCCTATAAAAGGGTAATGGGTTGGTAGTAGCTCAGTAGAGGAGGAAAGGAAGAAGTGATAGAGAAAGCTTAAGCTTTGTGCCCTAGCTTGTGTGCGATCCCCACCCTCTGTGAGCTTTGTGCTCTCACCCCTTTGTACGAATCCCCTTTCCTCTTTGAGAGTGACTCAGATACCAGTGGAGAGTTCCCCTTTGTGTTCTTGGTGGTGCACAGTTGAAGAAGGACTGTTTGATCAGGCTTCTGAGCCAAATATCATCGACGACGAGTCTTAACACATCCAAGACAATAGAAGTGTGAGGCTGCAGATAAAGATCAGATGTCAGCCATGTATAATTCTTAGGAATGAGGATCCCAGAGGCAAATGTCTTAATACATGTAATATTTTGCAAGAGACGCTATTTTAAAAAACCTTCGCCTAGTTCGCTTAGGCGTACGCCTAGGCCTAGGCGGTACCTAGGTCGCCTAACTAATACCTAGTGCCTAGGCGGTATTTAGGCAGCCCATTTAGATTTTACGAGCGTTTAGGGGAGCATTGTCTTACGTGGATTGTACCATGTAGGTTCTTGGTTGTGATTTTATGTGTTATAGCCTACACGTTCTCCAAACTCTATTAACCTCTAAATATGAACATCTCCACTACCTCCTCCGACCTTCAGCAAAACCTCATCGACCATCACTTAAATTAAGAAAGATATCCGCTTAGACATCAGTCCGACATCTAAGCTTTCTATAACATTGACATTCACTATCAATTATTATAATTAAAAATAAAAAAGGAAAACATCTTGTACTCTAGCCTTGTTAATTATTATTTTGGCTATTTAGTATCTAAGTATGCATGATTTATTGTGGAACTAAGATTGCTATCTTTTTTGAAAATTTATATGAATTTAATACATATTTTTTTATGAATTATTATAATTAAATAATTTAAAAATAATCAAACGCTTAGGCAGCGTGTCCAGGGATCTAGGCGCTAGGCGCTCTCTCAAACACCTAGTTTGCCTAGCGCCTTCTGTAACATTGTCGAGCTCCCCCGATCTCTGTAACTACTAACAAGGTAAAGAGTACTTCTTAAATATCTATTTAAGTTAGTTAACAACAGTAACTTAAACTTAAAAAGTGTAAGTTAATAGTAAACTTAAATTTAAGTTTAAGTTAAACTTAAGTTTAAGCTAACAGTAAACTTAAGTTTAAGTTTAAGTTAATATTAAGTTTTTTGTTAATGGTAAACTTAAGTTTAAGTAAATAGTAAACTTAAGTTAATAATATTTTAGTTAACAGTAAACTTAAGTTTAAGTTTATTATAAACTTAAACTTAATAGTAACTTATAAGTTAACCGTAATTTGAGTTAAGAATGAGTTTTTCACTATAGATATGAACTTATAATTTGAGTTGAGAAGTATAAATATACAAAGAGCTATTATAATTGGTAAACCAAGCAATTTAGTTAATAGTGTTGGTATTTTAGTATTTATGCATCTTTGATTGAGTATATATATATATTATATATATATTATATATATTATATATATATATATATATATAATTATATATATATATATATATTATTTGTCTTCAAGTATCATAATTAAAAAAAAAGAAAAAAACGCCCAGAAATCGCTAGGCGTCCCGTACTAGGTACTAGCGGGCTAAGCGGCGCTAAGCTCGACGCGTAGAAAGCATAAGTTTGGTTTGAACTTTGAAGAAGGATCAATAATATCTTCTTCTAGAAAACGAAAAACAACTTTTGTCTTGCTTTCGTTGAATCTAACTAAAAAGAAACCCTAGAAAACATCAAATCGAGCAACCTGCTTTAGTGACGAAGGGAAAGTGATCTTTTCAGTATCACACGACGATCCAACCATGCCCATCGTGATTTCGTGCCAACGGTGGCAAACGCAAGCACAAGAAACCACGTTCTTCCTCAACATCGATCAATCCTCGCTCAACTCAACCCTGAGGGGTTGAGAAACGGAAAAAGCGGAAGAGGATTCATCTGTTTCTCAGTGGTTGAGAAACGGAAGAATCGGAGAGGAAGAGGAAGGGGGTGGGGCGTGTGGATTAGAGTGGTAGGGTAAAGGGCATAATTGTGGCAACCCCTCAGTTTTCAATGTGAATCAATAATCTTAAACACTGATAATCATAATCAAAACGTTAAAAAACCAAAGTAAGAATAATTAGATAGAAATATATGATAAAATTATAATTAAGCAAATTTAAAGGGGTAAAATGGGCATGTAAAAGTTTTGACACTTGTTTTCTCTTTTAGATTAGAAGTAGTATAGATATAGATATCTATTCCTCTATAATAATAAGAGGACCCAAAGATCTACTATTCATTCTACAGTAAATGATACAGTAAATTTCTGTAGTATTTTACTGTAACACATACGGAATTGTAGCGTTTTAAAAATATCACTGTAGTAGTACCACTGTAGCATAGACGGGATAATGTAGCATTTAAAAAATATTACCGTAGTACTTAAAAAAATATTTAAAAATAGAATTACTGTAGCAAAAATAAAAAATAGGGATTGTGCGGGGTGCACACTAGTAGATATAGATGGTGCGACGAACTCTTCAAATTTCCCAAATAAATTTTAATTTATTATCCCAAGCTTAAATTTCAAGCTAGGGATTTATCCTACAAGCTTAAATTTGAAGCTAAAGAACCAAACACAACATCCGACGACACGCACGCACCAACCCACCGCCATCGGCCCCCGAATAAAAAGACGAAAAAAAATAATTAACCGCCCACCTTCCAAGAAAAGGCCATTTGAGGCTAGGGTTTCTTTCGGCTCCAAATGTTAGCCCCAATCTGTGAAGGTTATCCTTTGATTCATCAAATTATTTTCCTTGAACCCAAACTTTGTTCAAAAGGGTAAAAGATGCAAGCCATATACGTATCCAAGGAAAATCTGCTTCGCTCTTTAGCTGGCTTTACATTGAATCAGGGTCAGAATTCAGTTCTTGCTAATGCTGGCAACTTTATGTCAAAGCCCTTCTCTACTTTAAGCTGCTCGATTCGCCCCTTTCTGAATGCCCTTGATCTCGGGACAAAGCTACCTCCTTTTGATGAATTGATTACTCGCCAGATGGAGAATTTAAGTCCCATGACAAGAAGTTTCGATCTCTGTCACGGTAGAAAATGCATCGATTATTGTAGGAGAGCAAGTGCGGGTTTGAGAAGTCGGGAGGTAATGGGTGTTTTGAGTAATTCGATGGGAATAAACAGCAAGCCTAAATCCGTTATGGAGCCCGGGACGAGGGATTTTCATGTGTCACGTTCTTTAACGAATTCAGCCCGGGCTGCTTCTGAAATGTTGTTAGATGGATTTCCACGGGACGGGCAGCTTGGGAGTTCTACAGCTTCTTCTGATCAGTATATTTTTTGTACTTAACTTACTTCTATATGTTCTTCTTCGAGGAAAAAAAAAGGATATCCCCAACGAGGAGGGAACACAAAACTCCTCACTGACACACATATCATCAACCCACAACAGCTTAATTTACTTCTACATGTATTTTCGTGAAAAAGGATACCCCCAACAAGTTGCCAACACAAAACTCCTCATAGATAAAAATATCAGCAACCCACAACAGCTTAATTTACTTCCGGATTTTTTTCCCGAGAAAAAAGATACCCCCAACAAGGAGTGGACACAGAACTCCTCATAGACAAACATATTGTCAGCCCACAACAATTTAATTTACTTCTACATTTTTTTTGTAGTATGCCTAATATTATATGTGCACTAGTGTTGTGTATGCGGAGATTCAGCAATTTTGTATAGGCTCTTTTGCGTGTTAGGCTCCAATGAAAAACAAAATCATTAGAGCTGGATCTTGACAGATTCATGAAGACATGAGATTCTTCACGAATCGATCGTGATTGTATAATGGTTCTTGTGTATCCACTGTTTTTTGGATTATTTCTTAGTTATTATTTCTTAGAAGTTCAAGTTAAAACCCCACTTGCCAAGTTTGTCATGTGATTAAGTTTGTCTCTTAAGTTATATTCAAAGTTTAGATCAGAATAGATCTGATACTTTATAGAAGGCAAGACTTGTGTTTGTCTACTTGAAAATGGGTGGGATAGTTTGGTGCCATAAGCTTGTGAATTGGGTGAACTGTCTGAACTTTTATTTAAAAGTTGCCCTGACAACATGCTATATTCAGCAACTTGTCATACGAGCTGTTTTGTAATGTCTGACTTCTTAAATAATTTTGATATTTCATATTTATGACTACAAAATGGATGTATGGATCTTGTTAATTTATGTAGGGTACATTACACTAAATCCCTAGGAACTGTCAGCGTTTCGTAGGACACTAAACCCCCAATAATTTTTGCAGGACACCCCCAATATCTTTAGTATAAATTACACGAGACCCCCAATAACTTTGAAAATGCCTTTTCATTTTGCTTTTTAGATCGAATTTACGGGGGTTATTTGCAAAATGTGGGAGCTTATTGTGGGGGTTTCTGGAATTTCAAAAGTTTTTAGGGTTTAGTACGATTTTGATAGTTTTTGAGGGTTGACTGGAAAATGTTGAGATTTCTTGGGGGTTTAGTGTAATCTACCCAATTCGTTTATGTCCTCCCATGAAAAGATGGGTTCAATTCACTTGTATTCTGAAGAAAAAAGTTCATAAATTGGATTGTTGCCATCTTTTGTTGCAGGAAGTCACCAGGTGATGGAGCCTTGAAATTGCTCTCAGCATCTTGTTACCTACCACATCCAGATAAGGAGGAAACTGGTGGTGAGGATGCTCATTTTATATGCGTCGATGAGCAGGCTATTGGTGTCGCAGATGGTGTTGGTGGCTGGGCAGATGTTGGTGTTGATGCAGGACTGTATTCTAGAGAGCTTATGTCGCATTCAGTAACTGCAATTCAAGAAGAGCCTAAAGGGTTCATTGATCCAGTAAGAGTATTAGAAAAAGCATACGCAAGCACCAAATCAAAAGGATCTTCAACTGCATGCATTATTACTCTCACTAACCAGGTTTGCTTATGTTTTGTTCTTGTGAAATATTGAATGCCTTTTGATGCTAAATATAAAATTCTTTCCTCTAGTATATACACATTAACAGACAACGTAATGAGCTCATATTTCTTGTTTATGGCCCTGCTTTGTTGTTCTTAGAAATACTGATATTTAAGGTACTAAAATCATATTCAATCACGACAACTTCTACAAATTTGAAGATAACTTTCAGAAGACTCCCCATGGTTGTAGGAACCACATGAAATTTCCCTGATGTTTTAAAACATGACGTTTTATTGCTGACTCGATTTTCAATTTCTAGTCAAACGATCATCAATTATTTGATGTAATGAACAATGTTCAATCTTATAATCAAATTAATGTTTACATGATTGTATAATTAATTGTCTTATTCTGTGACCTCACTTTATCATCCAATTAACTTTGTAGCAATTGAAATGGATGGCCAAACTATCATTTTTGTAGCCTTAGGAGGGTTAATATTCCTGAATGTAGGTGTGTCAGCTGTAGCAAAACTCAAATTAGATGTTATATATCAATTTAAGAGAGTATCTAAATACAGGAATAATTTAAGAGAGATTCACATCCATTATATTCCTGAATTTTGAGAGGGTTAATAATCCTGAATGTAGGCATGTTTGTCTGAATGGAGAGGTGTAATCTCTCCATCGAGAGCCAATAATTAGGTTAACAATTGGTTTTGGTAGCCTAAGTATCAAGGGAATTTTCTGAAGCTTAGGATATCTATCCTGTAAATTTGATTCATTTTCTTCGTGCACTTAGTTCTCCAAACTCTTTTTGGTGCAACACAAGATGCGTCCTTATTTCCATCCTAGGTGTTACTCTGATGGTGTATGCCATATGGCAACTATTTATTTCCAGTAGGACTCAAAGATATTTCCAAGTATTTTGCACTCTTTGCTTTTTAGCAGCTCGGCATGGGAGTTCCTGTGTTGATGCTACATTCTTTTAACACCTTGCGGATGAAATCCTTACTTATGAATGATAGATATGATTTCACTTGAAATATTTATATATAATAGACATTTACACTTCATGTTTCCAAGTGACTTGTTAATGCGAGTGTACGGATCCGATATTATATTTACCATATTTATGTTTGTTTCTTGCTCGCAAATATTGTTATGCATATGCTTAGGTAATTATACTCATTCCTTTATTTATTAAAGTTGAGTACAAATAAAGAATTAATATGAGCGAAATGAATATGGTCATGTCAATTATAAAAGAAAATATAAGACTCACAAGTGAACAGGCCTTCTGATACAAGCATATTCAAAATATAACTTCTTAGAATCTGAGCTTACCAATGTATTCAACACGTCTAAAAATCTTGGGTTAAACATGTAGATAACTTTAAAACCGACTTCAAATCTACTAATTCAAGTTCAGAATAATTTAAGTTTTTCGATTCAGACAAACATGCGGATATCCCATATTCAACCTCTTTATACACAAAATTCGACCAAAAGAAAATCTGCATATGTATCCCTCTCAGACTTAATGTAATGGATGTGAATGCATATACATTCGTGGATATTTGTATCCATTTGTTTCAGAGGTGTGGATAGGTATACAAACAAGATCTGGTTGTCATAAGAAACGAATTCTACACAGGCAAGCTTCATGATGCAAGTGTACAGACTATTTGTTGACACTTTCTTTGTATGCAAATTTTACATATTTTATACTAGTGCCTTCTAGTGAGGCATGTCTTCCTGATGATATACACCCCGTTCAAGCCATAAACTTTTTTGGCTTTAGCTTTTACAAACTTCTGAAAAATACATGTTTTAACTCGACATTTTTCTTGCATGCAGTATTAGTTCTAATAAAATCCCTATGCAAAACTAATCGATGTACTTTTACTCGTGCTCACATCTTCTGATAAGAATCGTGAGACACTTTTTGTAATCCCTGTCAGAAGCTTGTATATTCATATTTGATCTTAGAATATATTCAGAACTTCTCATGATCCATGTGCAGTGACTCGGAACCTTTTGCCTCAAATTGTTTGTTACCTGCCATTATTATAAAATAAATACTGTAGTGAAAGTTTGTAATGGAACTGCATTTTAAATTTTCTGGATGCCCTAAATGTAGTTGCCCCTTGTAAAACTCTAAATTTATAGTGCTTAATGCTCTCCCTTATAGAAGCACACATGAGTATAAACATTTTTCCCATCCCTTGAATAAACTTTTTTTAATCTTTTACACTATATAGGGTATTCGTGCTGTGAACCTTGGCGACAGTGGATTTATAGTCGTGAGAGAGGGGTGTAACCTCTTCCGCTCACCTGTACAGCAGCACGATTTCAACTTCCCTTACCAATTGGAGAGTGGAAATGGCAGCGACCTACCAAGTGCGGCTCAGGTCAGCTTTTGCTCCTTTTTTTTATGGCGAAGCCAACTAAGAAATAAAAGATCGTCTCCTTTTCATGGGGGGTTTTTGTCTCCATTGCTTATTACCCATCACAATATGAAATTTGTTGCCTGATTGTGGATTTTGGTTGGGTCTTAACTGCTGCTTAGAAACTTTAACTGATCGGGCAGTTTGGTTGACAAACAATAGAGTCGCAGGGCAAATACTACAGCCAAATTTTGATTTCCGATGTTTGGTTAATAACAAGATAGTTGAGAATGGTAATTAGATTTCCCTTTTAGAAAAAAAAATTCAACATTCAGTCTATGCGTTTAACAAAAAAAATTAAAAATTGCCACACGTCAAGTTAGATTCTAACTCGAAAAATGTGAGTTCAGTTTACAATTACATGTAAAGCAAACATTTCATTTGCAAGGGAAATACATTTCTTGCTACAAAATAATGCATATACAACAGTTTTTGTAACTGATCAAACATTGGATTTTGAATTTAGAAATCTATATCTGTAAAAATTACACAATTTTAAAGGATGGATCTGAAGTTATTTGCTTCAACAAATGTAACATGCAACATTTTAGCAAACAAAAAACTACTTCACTTAGATATGACTGATACTGATGTGTGGAACCTCATTGAATAATACAGGTGTTTACCATTCCCATCGCATCCGGGGACATCATCGTTGCTGGTACAGACGGTCTATTCGATAATCTCTACAGCAATGAGGTCACGGCGGTTGTCGTGCATGGCATAAGGGCACGACTGGGGCCTCACGTGACGGCTCAGAAAATAGCTGCGCTTGCTCGCCAGCGAGCGCAGGACAAGAACAGGCAGACTCCTTTCTCTACCACTGCTCAGAATGCAGGATATCGCTATTATGGAGGTAAGCTCGATGACATTACTGTCATCGTCTCCTACATTACTGCTGCGACACCTTAGAAGCATACAAACCACGATTAGATATTCTTTTGTGCGTTTTGTACATAGAAATAGAAACGATAGGGACTTCCTGGAGGGATGGATTTAGACGTCCAAGTTGTTCTGATATATATAGAATCTTTTGTAAGAGAAAGACTCTGAAGTAAACTACTGGCAGCTGCATTTGGCTGCTTTAATTTTTGCATTGATGCAACTCCGATAGAGCTGGGTGTTTGCATTTAGTGATTTGAGCCCTCTCTGAAAATTGTCTACTTTTTTTGGGTTAGACTATGATAATGGTGGTTCCACCACCGGCAATGCTTATTGATAACAGTTCAGTGTGCTTGCTTGATGGATTCATAATACTATAGCATAAGCTAGCTTGGGTTGAACTCTCGTCTATCAATTTGTTGTTCTAACTTTTTTCTTCCCCCTTTAAAGTATAATCGCAATGGCAATCCATGAAGAGCATAGTTGTAGCTTTACCTGTTATTTTACATTAATTGTGAATATTTACGGTTATAGACAAAGAAAGTCTCTCTAGTTTTTCTAAATTTTACAATGGATAGCAGTTGCATATATTCTCTTACAAACAAGAATCATTTGGCCTTGCAGACAATGTACGTAGAGATTTCTCTTTGCCAGAATTGCAAAATAAGTCCGCAGTGTATCAGCTGCTTGGTCTACTGATGCCCAGTTATTCACCATTAAATAACGAAAACAAAATCTAGAGATACCCTTCACATCTCGCAAGGATCACCTCCTACAAAACACGACATTACATATACGAAAATACAAATTGAAACAAAATTTACATATTTATTATTCACGAACGAGCGTGCTTCATTCTAAACCTTCAACATATTCCTTGGCCTCTGCTTCTCTTCCTCTGTTCTCCTAGCCATCTGCCTCCAACTCGTCTTCTTCTTCCTCTCTCCTTATAGCCTCCTCTTGTCTCCTTACCTCTTCCTCTCTCCTCCTTGCCTCCTCCTCTTGCTCCTCTTCGTGTCTTCTAGCTTCCTCCTTTTCCTCTCTCCTTCTTCCCTCCTCTTCTTTTCTTCTAGCTTCCTCCTCTTCTTCCTCTCTCCTAGTCTCCTCTTCCCCTCTCCTCCGCTCTTGTTCCTCCTCTCTTCTTCTTTGTTCTTCCTCCTCTCTTCTTCTTGCCTCTTCTTCCTCTCTTCTCCTTTGCTCCTCTTCCTCTTCTCTTCTTTGCTCCTCTTCCTCCCTTCTCCTAGCCTCCTCTTCCTCTCGTTTTCTTCGCTCCTCCTCTTCTCTCGCCCTTGCCTCTTCTTCCTCCCTCTTTCTTGCCTCTTCCTCCTCTCTTTTTCTTGCCTCCTCTTCCTCTCTTTTTCTTTCCTCCTCTCTCTTCCTTGCCTCCTCTTCTTCCCTCTTCCTCACCTCTTCCTCCTCTCTTTTCCTTTGCTCCTCCTCCCCTTTCCTTGCCTCCTCTTCCTCCCTCTTTCTTTGCTCTTCTTCCTCCTCCTTCCTTCTTTCTTCCTCCTCTCTCTTCCTTGCCTCCTCTTCTTCCCTCTTCCTCACCTCTTCCTCCTCTCTTTTCCTTTGCTCCTCCTCCCCTTTCCTTGCCTCCTCTTCCTCCCTCTTCCTTTGCTCTTCCTCTTCCCTCTTTCTTGCTTCCTCCTCCTGCTCCCTCTTTCTTGCTTCCTCCTGCTTTTTCCTCTCCATCTCCTCCTCTATCTCCCTCTCCAACTGCTCTGCACATGAAGTGCACTCAAACATCACGGACTCCACCTGTGAATCCAACAACTGATCAATTGTCGTGTTTGCAGTATTGAAGGACACCCCCAAGATTTTCCTATCGAGCACACGGAGTACCGATCTCTTCCCCGCTAGAAATTGAGGATGGTTCTGACCAGCAACCGTGCTGAATCCCACAAAAACGAATGAGTCATTGTTGAATGATATTTGCGCCATTGGATGGTACCTCGGCACAATGAATACATCCCCTTCATTGACCTTAAACTTTGTGTTCTCGCATTTGGGAGCTTCATTGCTCACACCAGATGGATTGCCAGGACATACAACTTGCACTATTCCTTGTCCATGAGTGACTATGGCGATCTCTGTTGCTTTGGGGTTCCAATGAGGCCCCATCATTGAACCCTTCAAAAATCATGATTAAGATCAACTTATAACAATGGAGATATAAAAAGACACACTAAACAATTCTAAGATCATGAGTAACCTTAGTCAAGTTCACCAAGAACACTCCGATATTGGAACCCTTGAAAGGTTTGAATTCTTTGCTTGTCACTGCAATGCTCCATCCATTGCAATTCTCCACATCGGCTTTCCTTTCAAAGAGATTGAGAGCCTTGGTCTTCTGTTCCTTCTTTTTCTTGGCATTCACAATGCCAATTGCATGCCTTCCTCCTATGAGGGCTTCAAAGATCCCTTCCCTCCAATCCACTTCATCTGTCTCATTCTTTGGTTCAAAATGCACAATTGGTGGAGACTTCTCAGCCGCTTTGATCCCATGTATAACTTCCTCAGATACCTAATTAATCATCAAATCCAAATATAATTACTTAGGCACCTTGTAACAAAATTGATCAATTTAAGTAGATGCATTTACGTCATTATTTACCCCAAAGGCCATTTGGAGAACCTCATCATCGAAACCACGGATAAAGTCGCTAATATTCGAGTAAGCCCCAACGAAAGCCCCCTGTATGCCCTATATGTGAAAGGGAATTCAATAATCAACTTTTTCAACATAGTTTATGCACGCCTTGAAGCTGGACGATGAAGAGATTGAGGGAGGATTATACCGAGGCATTTTCATCAAGAATTGTGTTAAAAATGGCATGAATCCTTAGCTTCTCTCTAGCTGAATCGGGATGGCTACGCACATAGAATATACTTCCCTCTTCAAGTCTGTATATGTCTCCTCTCTTCACATCAATGCGATTCGTGCCATCCTCCGTGATCGAATTTATAGTTCCCCTCCCTTCAATTAAGAGGGGAAAAAAAAAATCTTTTGTTGAGGAACAAAAAGATCATATTTCCTAATACCTTGGCTAATTTGTGTATAATGGCTATTTCTAGAGTCTAGGCAGAGAGTAGTGACACAACTTAGTCCCTATTTTCACCTAATTTATTTGGTACTCTATGATTAATTTGGTAAACATAAGTCCACAAATTGAGGAATCTTTTAGTAACCGTTTAATGGTTTTTCTAACAGGTACTCATGGGCACTCGCTAGATAGGATAAGGTATAGCAAGCTCCCTTGATTTGCACAAATTTCTCTCTATACCCTTGATGAGTTCCTATCGTTTTAAGTAACTTAAACTTAGGTTATGAAAAGGACAACAAGAAACCCGGAGTACCATTCGAATTTAAAGTTATGAAAAAGGACAATAAGAATCCCGAAATACCATCTATTGGACTAAAAATTTCCATATATTCTCATTAAATGTTCTAATGTCTGACTGTGAATCTTCAATTAAAATATGGTTTGACTGGAGAACACCAAGTTTTTTATGAACATAAGATATATTTTTAGCTTGATGGAAGAACCCCATGTTTTTACTGAAATAGGATAAATTTTTGGGTCGTTTACGGACAGATGCATGTAATATCGCCCTGCAGTATCATCTTTTGAACTGACTACCCCCTGATAGACCCCTGATGGTAATTATATTTTTGCGTATAGGTCTCTGTTAATTTTACTTTTGCAGATAGCTCCAAGTAAAAATTTATAACTCTTGCCCCCTCAACAAAGGAGAAACGTTTAGCTTGAGATCTATCTGCGGAAATAATTAACTACAAGATCATGTGTACTAAGTTTTCTATCCGGGAAAGGAGGGTTTTTTTTTTTTTAATTTTCCAATAAAAAAAGTCATCCACAAGCAATTTTTGCAAAATCAAGCATTTTTGCAACGCGTGCATTTTGCAGGCTGTGAAAGTATTAGTTTTGCTCTAAAAACTTACCATAAATCCTAACTCACAGACCAATACCTGAGTGCACATAGAACACCATATCCGCATGCAGAATCACAGGGAGAAGCAGAGAGCTAGTATCCAACGTGATGAACTGCAGATGATAAGGCCCATAAGGCCCATGATACCTTTCGTAGACATCAACGGCCGTGATCATGCCGGATTCGGTGGACACGATGGTCCTCCTGCCCTCCTTGGTCACCAGAGGCACAAACCTCAGAAAATCCTCTCCCAAAATACCATCAAACTGAAACAACGACGACCAAAGGAAAAGCGCAACTAAGAAACCGGACCTTGTTGAAATTTCCATCCTTTTGTGTTTGAGTTGAATGGGAGAGGTGCTGCAAATTAGTAGGGTTTATTAAAGGGAAGCCGTGACATGCATGGTTGACACGTGGCGTTCGGGATCGTGAACGTGGTTCATGCAGGAAGGTGATGGAAAGTGACGTGTTGGGATCGATAGAGGTTAGCGCTCTGAGTCTTATCTCGGTGGGAGGTTTTGGATTCGTATATAGGTGAGCTTGGGTTTGGGTATGTAGAGTTTGTCACGAAAGGAAGGGAGCACGGGGGTTACAATTATAAAATATTTCAAAGCTTTATTTGTTTACAATTTTTAATTAGCAAGAACAGGAGGAGAAGGGATACAAATTAGAAAATCTGTTTATTTTTTTAATCATTTTAAACTATAGGTTGAAAGGGAAGAGATTTTGTTCATGTAATTTTCTTGAAATATCAAAAAATGCCCTATAAGAAAACCAAAACACATACCTTTTAGAAGGACATGTTAGTCAAGCTCTTTTCTAAAAATAAACACATATTATAATATACCATGTCATCTCTTACTATGTATTCAAACACAATTAAATACATTACACTTCTTCACTTTCCCGTCCCTCATCAATGATTTACCTTATTCACTCCTCTTTTCTACTCCATTTTATACCTAATCCGAAAGGCTTGTTTGACAATTTATCAAAAACTAGGCCAAGATCAGTCCTGACCCACTTTTATATTAAACTGATTTTAGCTTGGACCATAGGGATGGTGATCTAAACTAAAACCAGTTTAGTGGGCATTTTTAGCCTACAAAAACTGAGCCAACTTTGGCCCAATATTTTACCAAATAAAAAAATAACCAAAACTGGAGTAGGTCCTGTCCTGAACAAATTTTAGAGATTTGTTAAACACAAGTGTAGTCATGTTTGGATATTTTGATTAAAGGTATGCTTTGCGACCATACGTGGGCTAAGCTTAAATCTACGATTAGGGCTGGCAATCGTCCAAGACACGTAAATTCAAAGTGTGAGGTGATCATGTCGTTTGACTTAAAAAAATGAAGCAAGAAGTGCTATTCAAAGATATTACCAATGTAGGATTTTTTAGATATTAGTCCCTTTAATCTAAGCTATTTTGGTATTAGTCCCTCAAATCTGAATGTTTTGATATTAATCACTCAAATTGACTTAAGTTGTTGATAATGGTCCCTTTGTTAGGTATTCTATTAAAAAGTCTAAACCATCATTGAGTTAACCCTAACCATATATGATAAGTTGCCAAAACAACCTCGCTGCGTAGTTTACTAATACCAAAGAACTCTCTCTCTCTCTCTCTCTCTCTCTCTCTCTCTCTCTCTCTCTCTCTCTCTCGTTTGATCTCGCCCCTAAAATGTCGCAAATTCCCTCAAAATTGTCTTCAAATCAAGTTCAATCCTTTGTTGCGGACTGAAGAAAACGATCCTTACAATACCTAGAAGACAAATTCAAACAATTTTGGGGATAAAATTTTTTCGTTTAATTTTATTTTTTAGGGTTTTCAGTCATCTTCCTGTTAGGGTTTATCTATGGTTAATTTAGCGTTAGTTTTGTCATCTTTCTAAGGTATTTATTGTTTAGTTTCTTCACTTAGAATACACCTTCTAAAAATCTGATTAGGACAATACTTAAACAGATATGGATCATCCCAGTAAAAATATTTTACCCGGAGAGAAAACGAGATCTATCATGTTTAGACCAATGAGAATAGATCTGTTTCATGACTAAGTAATTTACAATATCAGCAAACCACGGAACAGATTGGATCTGTAGAAGTTGTTCGTCTAGAAAATGTTTATTGATTGGACGTTTGATGTCGTTGCATTCGGAAGTCTAGAAAGATGATCTGCTACGGGGTTTTCTGCTCCCTTTCTGTCAAGAATTTGAATGTTTAAACTCTTGAAGGAGGAAAATCCATCTAATAAGCTGTGTTTTGGCATATTTTTTGGTCAAAAGATACTTAAGGGTGGCTTGATCTGTAAAATCTTTGGTCAAAGACCCGATCAGAAAGGACCTGAATTTTTCTAAGGTAAAGAATATAGCTAAAAACTCTTTCTCAATGACAGAGTAATTTTGCTGAACATCGTTCAGTGTCCTTGATACGGGTGTATCTTCTCTTCGGAACTTAGCGATCCTCATGGGAGCTTGAGGATAGATGATTCTCATACTAGCATGAGAATAGGGGGTGTCAAACAGTATAAGGGAACACAGGAGGAAGCGTGGAACAAGACGACGAGCAGAAGAATCGAAGTACCCAGTTTTCAGCCTGTGAGTCGACTCATGACTGTTATGAGTCGACTCATCAGGTTGAGTCGACTCATGACTGTCATAAGTCGACTCATCGCTGGTTATTGAGATTTCTCCAGTTTCTGTCGAGTCGACTCATCTCAGTCATTGGAAGGAGCCTAAGAGTTAAGGAAGGAGAATATGTTTGAAACAGATAACTCAACAAGACTTGATGCCATGGAGAAGCAGATCGGGACGATTGGTTCGACGCTCAGTCAGCTCGTGGGTCTCATTAACAAAGGGGACAAAAGAGAGGAATCTTCTTCGAAGGGTAAGAAGAAAATCATCGAGTCCGATGAAGAGAGCGAGAAGTCTGATTCGGACGGGGGAACCGAGGTTGTTAGGGCTGTTGGATATCAAGGGGGTAAAAATAATTACCAAAATTTAAAGATAGATTTCAAGGTGGAGATTCCTGTCTATGATGGGAGTGTCAATGTAGAAAAGCTCGATGATTGGATTGAGCGTATGGAGATGTACTTCACCCTCTACGGATATTCATCCAAGGAGAAGATTGTGTTCGCGACATTGAAGCTTTTAGGGCACGTGTTGACGTGGTGGAAATCCTATTGCAAACAGGAGAAGAAGGCAGCGTCGTGGAACAAATTCAAGGAGCTACTCAGGAAACAGTTCTATCCGGTGGGGTTCCTTAAGGAGCGTTGGTACAAGTGGTACGGTTTGCGCCAAAGATTCAATCAGACCGTTCAAGAGTACACGACGGAGTTCCAGCAACAGGCGATGGTTCTAAACATCGCAACGGACGAGTACTCCATCTTCATGAAGTACATGGCGGGACTGAATGATTATATCCGTAAAGAGATGAAGCTGTTCACGGTCGAGACGATTGCAGAAGCGAGCGTGAAGGCAATTGCCATTGAGGGAAAACAGAAGAAGGGCAGCGAAACAAAGGGTGACTCCAAACAATCGGGAAACAAGTCGAGTAGCTCTCAACATAAGGAAGAGAAGAAGAAGGGTGATTCAGGGAAGGCAGGATTGACATGCAATCACTGCAAGCAGACAGGGCACGTGGCTGATCGTTGCTGGGATAAGTACCCTCATCTGAAGCCGAAAGGGTTGAAGAAGAAGGAGGAGAAAAAGGCGTATGTGATAGCACAGGGTCTGAAAGAGGTTCCCGGGATGACAGAGCCCAACAACAGCCTCAACCTTATGGCAGGGAAACAGGCCACAAAAGAAGACAACGACCCGAGAGAGCAACTCGGCATCTCTTCCGCAGGAGACGAGTTTGGTGACGGTGACTCAGGCTAAGAGGTTGGTGAATGCGGGCAGGAGGTTCGTGTTATTGTTCATTCGGCCTTATGAAGAACAGCTGAGTGGGATATGCTTGTCCACATTGAGCAAGCTTCAGGAGGGAGATCTTGATAGTTTGAAGGCCAAGTATGCGGATTTGTTTTCAGAAATCACGGGACTACCACCACGGCGAGGTGTAGAGCACGAGATTATGTTGACTGGCGAGAGTTTCTTGCCAAACATAGGCCTATACCGCACATCGATACAGGAGTCCGAAGAGATCAAGAAGCAAGTTCAGGAGCTCTTGGAGACGGGAGTGATAGTGCCAAGTTGTTCACCTTGCGGGTCGCCGGTGTTATTGGTGCCCAAAAAGGATGGAGGTTGGCGCATGTGCGTGGATTACCGGGCGCTCAACAAGATAACTATCAAGAATCGTTACCCACTACCACGGATCGATGATCTTATGGACCAGTTAGAGGGAGCGAGGTTCTTTACGAAGTTGGATCTGAAGTCTGGCTATCATCAGGTAAGGATTCGGGAGGAAGACACTTGGAAGACGGCGTTCAAGACCAAACAGGGCCTGTTCGAGTGGTTGGTGATGCCGTTTGGATTATGCAATGCTCCGACGACTTTTATGAGGCTCATGAATGATTTGTTGCGACCTTTCATAGAGGATTTTATGATTGTGTACCTTGATGATATTTTGGTGTATAGCAGGACTTGGGAGGAGCATCTTGTTCACGTGGAGAAAGTATTTAGAGTGTTGCAGGATGGACAACTGAAGCTCAACAGGAAGAAGTGCGAGTTTGGGAAGGACGAGTTGGTGTATCTCGGCTTTATCGTGGGGAAGGGCCAGAGGAGGATAGATCCGGGTAAGGTGGCGGTGATCACAAAGTGGCCGACGCCGAAGACAGTGACTGAAGTGAGAAGCTTCATGGGGGCTTGCCAATATTTGCGCAAGTTCATTCGACATTTTTCGACTTATGCGGCACCGTTATATGGCCTCACAAAGGCTAAGGTTCAGTTCGAGTGGGGAATGACGCATGAGGAGGCTTTTCAGTTGCTAAAGAGGAAGATCTCGGAGGCACCAGTATTGGCGTTGCCGAATTTACAGCGGACTTTCGAGGTGGAGCCCGACGCGCTTGCCAATATTTATGCAAGTTTATTCGATAATTTTTGACTTATGAGACACCTTTACATTGCCTTACAAAGGTGAAGGTTCAATTTGAGTGGGGGAGGACGCATGAGGAAGCTTTTCAGTTGCTAAAGAGGAAAATCTCAGAGGCACCGGTGTTAGCTTTGCCGAATTTGCAGCGGACTTTCGAGGTGGAGACCGACGCATCTAGTTATGCGATGGGCGCGGTGTTGATTCAGGATGGGAAGCCGGTGGAATATCATTCTGAGTTGTTTTCGGGTGCTATTGCGAACTACCCGACCTATGACAAGGAGTTCTATGCATTGTATCAAG